TCATGGCTGAGCCAAGCTGCGACTTTTATGGTAGCTTGCAGACATCAGCAAATAACAAGAATTGACTGTCAATGCGCAGGCTGAAGTCATGGCTAATACCTAGGCCACAGTTTTGGTATGGCGATTTAAGGGCGAGTCCACAAAGCAGTTACAAACTAAACAATTGAAATGGGTATTTCTTCGAGAAGGTTATGGTCTTGTATCCTTGCAGATTACGAAGCTCACAACGCGGTTTCTCCTCCCTCAATTGTTTCCGATTAAATAGTTATTTGGTATAAGGCGGTATTTAAGATTTATCTGTGCTGAGAGTAAAGCTCTCGTTAAAATGAACAATAACGCTGTCTAATATTATTATTTTTAAAGCGCCTTCGCTTAATTTTTAAGTTCTTATCTCAAATGTTTACATATTCATAAATTTTAATACTCTTCTTAATCGATTAGTTCTTATCTCAAATCTTATTGTGTTCATCTGTAAAGACTTAATGTGTTCCATTTTTAATCGGTCTCAGCATGAACTTCAAATATTTTGACCTGTATAGCAAACCATAACAAAGTCAATAAACCCTTTATCATCAAACCATGGGCATAATCAAAACAGAAGAGCAAACGAGCCAAAACAAGTTTAACATAGTATACGTTATAAGCCAGATTCTGTTTCGGCCGCAAACTAGAATAATCAAAATACTGAGGACGCGCGCACTCAAGCATTGAGAGGCGAGAAAAATTGTAAAAAATGGCGTATTCTAAAAACTACAAGAAATACAAAAAAAAGAAGAAAAAAGAAAAACAAGAATAGCAAGCAGAGAGAAGAAGTGCAGGGCAGGGCAGGGCCGGGCCGGGCTGGGCAGCTTATATACATAAGTAAGTAAGTACGAGTAAGTACCTACGACAAGGCGAGATCGCGTAGACTTTCAAACAAAGCGCCTATGAACCTGGCAACCGGTTTTCTTTTTAGCTTTCAGCCTCAAAGTACAACTACACAAATAGCAAAACTTCAGTTCGAGTGTATCCATAAGCCAAACAAGCAACAACCAACAGCAGCAAGCAGCAGCAAAGGGCAGTAGATGTGTGTAGATACTTGTACGAAATCGGGTTTTAGAAGCTGCTCGCCACGGCGCAGGTAGATGCACCCCAACTTGGCCAGGAGCAGGAAATTGTTGGCCCAGACCAAAGCCACAAGCCAAAGCGACACACAATATGCGTACACTCAACAAAAATTTTAGTTTAATACCAGTTCTGAAAACTGGAAGTTGACGAAGCAAAATTTGAGAGAAGTAAAATATCTACCTGATTTCCTAGAATGATTAAATCTTGGAAAACAAATAATGATTAGTGAAGAAGCTTGCGGCTTCATTTTAGAATATCTTTTTAATTTTCAAAATAATTTGTTGGCAACAATTCAATTATTTTCAGAAATACTAAAATTTGCATGTTGAAAATTAAGAGTATTCTTTGAAATATTCAACTGGTGTTTTTTCTTCACATTCCAAGTTGACTTTAACAATTTTAAATTATAAAATATTTGGTATGTAATTTGTTTTCATATAGGCTAATTAATAACTTATTGTTGGACTTTAGAAAATCTTTCAGTGGATGCCCACTAACAATAAGTGTTTTTTGTGAAGCCTTTTTGGTCAATGGCTTTTGCCTCGCAAAGAGCAGCAGCAGCAGCACTATAACAGAAAAGGCCCCAAGTTGGGGCGACGTCGTCGTCGTCATCATTATCATCATTCATTTTTCATTTTTCATGGCTGAGTGCCTGCCATGCAGTTAGCTCTGATTGTTTACAGCTGCCGTCTCGAGTCCAGAGTCGAGCCTCAGTCTCAGTCTGAGCCCGAGTCTGAGACGTGGTCTGCGCTCTAAACTGGTTTCGCCTCGTCTCAAGTCTCGGCCCAAAGGCGTCGCACAGCTGTTAGCTGGCCAGGTTCAGAAATTTAATATGCTCTCTACGCAGGATGCAGACAGACAGACTGACACACAGACAGACAGAAATACACTCAAGTGGTTGGCTGCAGCTGAAGTTGCAGTTGGAGCTGGAGTTGTTTTAGCCAGGAGCAGCGGCTGCGGTTTGACCTAAAACTCGCATCGCTTTAAGTACGTCCGTCTGTCCGTCCGCCAGTCCTCTGTCCCACAGCGCATATGAAAATGTTGAAATTTAGCTTTTGGGCCAAAGCTGTGCTGGTCCGATTCTTGTCTCGTCTTTGTTTTTGTTGCGATTCTCCCGTTTCTTATTTTATTTCCATATATTTTTTTTTATTTATTTATTTTTTATTTAACGTTTTTTTTTGGCGTTGCTGCAACTCATTATTTTGCGGTTGAAAAACTTCGTTCTGCCTGCTGCGGGGCCCAACTTCTGCTTTGGCGTCGAAGTGCATAAATAACTTTTGCTGTTGTTGTTGTTGCTTAAAACGGTAAACGATATACGATGATGTTATTATTGCTGGCTTTGGTATAATCTCTGGGGCATTAATAATACTATGTATGAGTGCTGGCTTAGTCAGATTTCAACGAGTTTTGCTCGTGGGTGAAGTTGCGACCCGATGCGATGCGATGCGATGCGATGAGCTAAGACGAGTGGTAAACTGATTGCTGTGGTCAGCAGTGGCGGGTTTAAAGAGCGTCAATCTTACTAACGGGTTCTTTTTGTTTGACAGCACAGGAAATGTTTAAGAATGTATATATATTATTTTTTAATATACTTCTGCGCAGCTGACTGAGCTTATTTATCTGTCTGAAGCATAGAAGGTCTTTTATAATAAAACTCAATTAATCTCAATTAGTTAACGTTTATTTCTAAGCCTACGCACTAAACTTGAATGATTGTTTATTTATAGACAATTACCGTGTTTTCTATGTGCTGCATAAGTGTATCATAGAATGGTTTAGTATACTGTATATTAATTAATTCGTTTTTTTTTCTATACATAAATATTTTTGCTTTAAGCGATCTATAAAACAACAACAAATGGAATTAAAAAATCTACATAAATTTTCCCCAACTGAATATTCGGTTTGTCAAGTTTTACAACGACAATAAAGCGAGTCGTACCAAACATTTTTTAATATATAGTTTCTCATTTAGTGCTTGGCCTTTTCATTGATTATTTCAATTTATTGTGCAGCGCTATCAATAAAAGTGGTTCCACTCTGATTACGTATGCGAGTGCCTTCAAAGATGTGCCACAATTAATTCAAGTGCCTATACAACTGATTTTGATATTTATTTGGTCTTCAAAATAAACAACAGTCCATACATAAAATACTTATGGCTGCCATATAAATCAACGCAACAGCTGCCGAGTAATAGATGATTGTATTTCTACTATTTCAATTGGCGCTTTCACTTGCTGATTTTTTTCTTTCAGTTTGATTTTTGTCTCGCGTACTTTCAAGTTTGTTTTTTATTACACATTTTGGTTAAAGAAAAAAAACAATATTTTTTCTTTAATAATTTTTATTATTTGCGCACTTGTCATTATTTTTTCCTGTTAATTTATGTCATCTGCTGTATCGTAAATTTATTCAACAAAATGATTTTGTTGTTTCTTTTGTAAATTAAACAATAAATTCATTGATTTACCTCCACAACCGATTTCGTATATATTTCGTTTGATTTGTTTTAAGAGTCTAAGAGCATAAATCATTGCAGCAATAATAAATTAAATGTGCGTATGTACATATAAGTATTAATAGTCATTCGTTTGGAGGCTTGCTTCGTAAACGTTAACGAAACCCAAACAAAACAGGGAAGCTGTTTTATTTGACTCTTTTGTATTAATGAAAAATTGCAGTTGCATGCAAATTGCATATTTAAATGAAATATCAACGACGTGCCCACAATAACACACCCCATTCGGTACGATCCGATCCGACCCGATACAAAATGATACTCCGTCGACACTTTCGTTTTTTTATTATATCGCCTCCTCTGTTTTTTACTGGTTTTTCGCGGGGACCAGCAGATAAATCTTTGATAAATCGCGCGTCTTTAGCATTGGCAAATGCGAATTTTATGCGGCTTAATAACATTTTGATTTGTTGTCTTATCAGGCTTATTGAGTGTTTATAATTTATTCATGCAGCTGAATAATATACGAAGTGGATACTGAGCTCAGCGAGTTTAGTTTTCACGGATGCATAGCTGAAAATGCATATTTATTTCTATATTTTCTTATATTATATAAAATTTTAAATTATAAATTGCAGTTGTAGTGAAATATATAAACATCTAAACAGCACCCCTATACTGTTATTATGTTACCTAATACTAAAAATGCAAAGCATATCAATCAAGCTGTTGTGCAACACACTTTCTTGAAAGTTTACTCAATCCATCAATGTTGCAACTTCGTTCGATTTCAATTGCCATCGCTATTATCACTGCCTAAGCAGTGACTCACATGCCCCCAATTACTGATTAGGGTATCTACCCTATTAAATTCAATGGATTACCTTTTACAATGCTTATCAGTGAAACGTTTTGTTTCACACACACACAATTGATAAGCGATAAGATGGCAGGCGCTACAGCGTAATAATTTTAATGGCATTTATGTTATCATTTAGTTTAGATACACGCAATGTAAAATATTTATTTATTGAACACCTTTAATTTCGTTGTTTGTGATAAGAATAACGAGTTGAAATGCTTGTGTTGAATTTGGGTGACCTGCTTCTAAGGGATGGGCAGGTTTTAGGAACTTATGTTGAATGTAGGTTGAATGGTTCTGTCCAGAGCACGATTAGACAGGATTTGTAGATAGTAAAATGATTAATTGATTGCCTGACATACTTCTAGTCCAAATATATGTATAATAATATAATCAACTTTTAATATATAAGCGAACACTCATCGAGCCGAAGGCCTTAGTTGCAATTGCTTTTTAATCTAAATTAGCTTAAGGTTTCAGACAGTAAGTTATCTTTACATGAATAAAAATAAATATATATATTTTTAAGTCCGTTATTAAATTTCTAATTGAATATTGTATTTCTTGCAGAGAACCCTATGTACGTCCAGTACATACAGTGAGAAACTTGAGCCATAACTGAATTCAATATTGGGTAAGTTTAAAGCTTGTTATATTGAAGCGTTTGCAGGTTGGCAAACATTTAAAAGCTTAAAAATCACCATAGACAACGTTCCATGAAAAAAAAAAACTCCCAGCTAGATTCTTATTCAGGCACATTAAGTTTTGCATATTTGGAGCACACATTCAAATTCAATTTCATTTTCATTTTTTATGAAAAATTCCTCTACACAACATTTAACTGCATTTCAGGCGTGGGTGCCATTGTGCGATAATCAAATCAAATTGTAAAAGCAGCTGTGCAAATGGCGCAGAGTAGGTATTTGAATCAGAAACCAGAACGAGAACTTGAGCCAGAAATCGCTTAACCCAGTAAATATGATAAATATGCATCACTGACTACTTATTCCAATTAAATTATAATTCAGATTTCTTGTAATTCTCGGATAAGCGTCGTGAATATTTCAACAAGTATTTAATAAACAACGCATTTCAATGATTTCAATGCAACGCAGAACTTTTGCAAAATTCAACTTCCCTTTGATAGAGCCAAATAAAGGCGTATTAGATATTTCACATATTTTCAATTTGTTTTTTTGCGATAAGCGACATTGAATTCACAAAACAATTTACGCATTATTATTGTATATTTTAATGGAGTTCCATGGAAGAGCTGTTTGCTTGAAACACCAGTCAAGTACACTTGATGAGAATCGAATAAAAGACTAGTGCTTGCCGGATGATTAGTGGAATATCTTCAGTTAAAGTACCTGATAATCATTAAGAGGAGCTTATTAGATATTAAAATTACCATTATTAATGACAGTGAACAAGTGATAATCATAAAGAGCTAAGCATCTTATGTACAACTGATGAGAATCACATACAGAAGTGTCAAGGCTATTAAAACTGTTGAGTAATGCAAAAACAAGCTTTTTAGAAGAAATGAAGTTATAAAGCTGTTCGTATTTGCAAGCTAATAAAGTATATATAAATATATATAAATCGAATGGATCACATTCAATAAAAAATAATAAACAATAATTTACAATTGCATTTGCAATTTGTTGTTGCTCGGAATACATTTGATAGCTTAAATTGTGATAAGAACCGTTTGAAACAAAGAGCTCGTAACGCAGCAGTATGGACAACCTTGTGGCATATACGATTTCCACACATTGCAAATCGAAATCGATTTCGAATTACGTATTTTACAAAACTGTAAAAGGAAACGTAGCAATTCACCAGAGAGCCGCGTGAAAGTCAACCTTGTGTGTGTGTGTGTGTGTGTGTGTGTGTGAATGTGTGTGTGTGTAGGAAGCTAAAGCCTGAAGTAAAACACTCAACATTGTTGACAAATAAATCACTGAGGAGAAATGTAAACAGCAAATGTGCTCACACCACCAGACGAGCAATCAATGAAGATACTTTTAATGCTTGCCGCGCTTGTCCAGAGCAAAAAAAAAATCAAAGTCTCCGGCATTAAGCAGAAAACATACATATAAAAAAAAAACGCAATTTCAGCTTATCTAAGATTTAGCGCTTTGAAGTTGTTTTTATATTATATATATTTTTGTAAAGCTGCCATGTCAAGTCAGGTTTTGTGGCAAGGTTATTGCACACGAGAACTGCTCATAAAGCCACAAAAAACAGACACACAAGAATACATTTTAAGAAATGGCAACAAACAAAAAACAAAAAAAAAAACAAACAGCAAAAAAAGCATTCGATAATTAAATATTTGATATGTCAGCTGTTTGCTGATGTAGTCGTTCGGGGCCACAAAGCAAAGCCAATAAAGCTGCTCGGGAATACAAATATATAAACAAAAAACAAAGGAGTTTTATTTACTAAACAAAACGTGTAGCCAAGTATTATAGGAAATATATATATAATGCTGTGTTTTATATTCAGTATAATTGGAGTCTGAACTTGTCTGTCTATAAGATTTGCATTCGTTTTATTTGGGTTTATTGTGCAATAGAGTTTAGCTTCTGGTCACTTAGGAAAGTGGCAAAACCTTGACAAGATTAATAGATTTGAGTAAAGCACGAGGTATGAATTCAATTTCACCCCCTTAAATATATATTGAACCTGCTCTCGATATCTGACAGGCAGAGTGTATATATATCTTACAAGCTCAATCAGCAGCACCCCTTATCGGGCAACTGGTTGGTCAGCAACAACTTCCGCGAACGGTTTGTGTCCGAAGTTGACCAAGATTTATGACAACTTGTAACTGGGCACACACACACCACACACACCACACACATAACTCATTTCTTCGTTGCTTTGTCGCCTGAGCAATCACGCAAAATGACGGCTCAACTTGTTGTGGTTACAACAAAACCAGCAATAACAATAAAAATACAAAACATACTTAGCATTTTAAGCACATGCCAAGCAACAACAATTGAAAAGCACTTGCACTTGGCGCTGGCTTGGTATTTGCATTTGCATTAACAAAGTGTGACCAACATTGAAAATGCATCTCGCAATGCAAATGAACATTGAGTGCGAGACGCGTCTTTATGGAGCATTTCATTATTCGCAATCGCTAATGAGCTTTATCCATATTTATATGCATTTATTAAATAGGCGAAGGCTGTTTGATATCCAAGTACGCAAATTAAAAGTGAATGGTAATTGGCTGAGTTTTTACGACGCTTGTCATGAATAACATAAATAAATTAGGAAATTGAGAACAACTCTAGGATTTTTACATCAATCATTTGCTGTTAATCTGAATACTTGCTTATCTCTGAAGCTAAATCTTTAATTGCCCATATTATATTTATATTATAGTTGTTCGATTTCCTATCAATTCTTTTCAGCCAGTAATAATTTAGTTATAATCAGCTTTCATTACTCAAAAGCTTACAACTAATTTATAATTTCGCTTCATATATCACTTTCAATCTAACAATTTTATACCGTCTATTATCTAGTTGTTTGTTGCCCAACACTATTCAAAGCAACTTCTTTTTAGTCTTCGCTATTGTAAGAACCGCCCAAGATTAAGACACAAAGGCAACATCTTCTTGCGTCGCTTGCACAACCCAACTCGTTTACAGCAAACACACACACACACACACACATAGCCCAATAGCAAGTCTCACATGACACACATATCAGCTAAGCGGCACGCCCCCCTTTTGCAGCCCACCGAATTTATTATGCAAAACTAGTGTGCAACAATGCGACACAAAAGCTGAACACAGTCACTGCTACTGTGCAGCTGGCAAGCTAAACAGATAGTCCGCCCCCCGTTCTCTATGCAGCCCCAGCAAATTTGTTCTAGTTGATAATTTATTTGAATATTTAGTTTAATTATAACAACAAAAGAAACAGCAACAGAGATTTTGCAACAAAAGTTTAGAAAACAGTTGTGCAGCGGCAGCTTGTGGTATATATCTGTATCTGTGAGACACAAAACTGGTCAAGTAAAGTGCTGGGCGTTTAAGTCTGTCAAGTGGCTGGCATTGAATTGAGCTAATCACAGACAAAAGCAAAGTGCAATGACAAAATACAAATGCGAAATGCAAATAAATACTTAATTATATATTTATAGTAGGTTTACCGAATACTATATATATACTCTTGTATACGATAATAAGATTTTAGCAGACGTAATTCAATTGGCGATTTAGCTCAAGGTACATTTAAAAAAAAAATAAACCTATTTTTCATGCAAGAGCTCAATTTTACTTATATGAACTTATATGTTATTATGTTAGCTATTTGAAATAATAACTTCTTCTAAGGCTAAATAAACTGTTCAACACTAAAAATAGTCTTTCGCAAGCGTATAATGATTGTCGCTAATTAGTTGCCTCCTCTTTTTATAATTGGACAAGGGGAACATAAAATTCGAGTCAGACCCCCGCTGTGGCAGTCTGAGATTTAACAATCCAGTCAAGAAGACAAATGATATGCTTAGCATTGGAACTGACTCAACTAATTCGTTAGCTTTGGCTCTGCTCTGGCTCTGGTTCTGGCTCCAGCTGGCGACCACTTAAAGACGATTAACTGAACGTCCAGTTCGGGCTTTGTCCGTGGCCCTCCACTTATTTATTTATAATTTGTGGTTCTATAATTTTTGTACATATGGCGTATGCTGCGACCTAAGCAAGATTCACGCCGCAAGCGACTCAAATCAAAACGTGCATAAATTTCTATGCTTTGTGTGTGCGTGTGTGTGTGTGTGTGTGTACCACTCCCCCCTCATTTGCCACCCCTTCCAGTTCCAGGTCGTGTATCAAACAGTAGCGGCATTCATTAATCAAAGAGCTGGCCATTGGTCTTGTGTACTCCCATCAAAACCATTACCCATTACGTTCAGGGCAGATTTGTAGCTAGCTTCGTATTAGTTACACTTTAACAGATTGACGGATGGGGGGAAGGGGTGTTTTGGTTGAATGTGTGCCCCACGGGTTATTTCCAGAGCTGTGCATGCAAAGAAGTTGCCAGATGAATGAGCTAAGCACAGAACTCGAATTGATCTTGTGGGTTGGGTTTAAGCTTGGGTCTGGGTTGGGTCAAGGTAAGCCTCGAGCTGAGCTCATCAGAACAGGCAGCGATGCGTCTTTTTAAGTGTTTTTTCCATCTTTTATTTATTTCTTTTTTTGGGTGTGCCTTTATCTGCAAGTGTCAGGCGAGGCCAAGGATTTGGCTTGATATATGTATGTGTTTCAATACTAAGCACAAACATTTGTTAAGCCAATGGAATTGATGCATGAATCTGTGCAATTCGCATGCCCTTACTAATCAAAAGTTTACGTTCCTTATGTCTTAACGTATCCTTTGTAAACACTGCCTGCAATAAATAGCTGAATAAATTGTGTTTGCATTTGAATGCCTTGCTCACTCCGCAGAGGAAGCATTATTTTATTTAGTTATTTACTTGCTTTTTTTCTTCTTTGCATATTGGCAAATGTATGCAAATTTTTATTTATTTAATAAACACGCAAAGTGCGTGTCAGTTGCGGGAAAAATTCAAAAGCGTATGTTCAAGCTGGGGCTGGCTGGCCCAAGGGGCCAATGTACTCGGGCAAGGACAACGACAGCAAGAGAGTGAGAAATTTTTTTTATTGGCAATTTGTTGTAACAACTGTAGACACCAGTGGATAACTATGCATAACTGACGATGTCAATCGGCGCTAACGAACATGACTGTTCTCAGATCCGCCTATCATGTCTATCTACAAATTGCCATTTTGTCAACACAATCGTCGAGTGCCTAAAGTGCCTCAGCGGCCTGTTGATGTCGTCTCGTCGATGTGGTTGTGGATGTGGATGTGGATGCTAATGGCAATTGAGTGAGACTTGTCAAAATCTCAGAGTTAATAATACTATTATAATATCATCATCTATACGAGGGGAGAAACATTCTAATGCACTTCAGAAACAGCTGAAGCGCTTAAGGGCTAAGTAAAACACTCAACGAACTTGATGGTCGTAAAATGATAGTTTTCTTCAAAATATAGAAAATGATCTAATGATAAATGTAGTGAATATATATATATACGTATGTATATATATTTCTTTTTCAATATGACACATTTTATTGTGATCACTTAGAGTGTAAATATGGAGGTGATGTTAAGGGAACATATATAGAAGATAGCCCACATTTATTTCATTTCTACAAATTGCTTATAAATTCATCACTAGTTATTTTTCTCATCATGATATCCGCTCAGTTTGAAGTAGTTTTAATACGTTTTTAAGAACTAGACAAAAACTAACAAAATATATTTATTTATATATATATATTAGTGCATGGTCTTGAACTATCGTAAGAATTTTGAATGTTTGGCTTAAGTTCAGGTTTTAAAGCATATAACTGCTTTTAAATGGTTTTTTGCTAGGTTTTACAAAGTTTCTTAATGCTTAAAGTGCAAAGTGGCAAAAGTGGAAGTTCATATTGGAAACTTGGCACTATCGCACTATTAATTATTGTTAACTTTTGCAAAAGTTAGTAACTTGTACTATTTATCTTTTAAATACTTTTTGCTTTATACGCAATAGTCGACATGAATTAAAAGTTGGAACAACTTTGTGCGCAGTGCGTATAGTTTGAGTATTAATTTGTTGTGCATAACTGTCGAGTCCTTTGTCGTCAGTACTCATGATTAACCGAGTCGGCAACTGTATTGTACTCTTCTCTATGGACTGTCAATTATAAAAGATACTGCGCAACTGAGCATGAAATTAGCTGCGTGCTGCCGCCCTTCAACACACCCCACCCCTACACACACACACACACCCCCAAGAAAAACCATGACTTTCATGTCATATTAGAGTTTGTACTCGTATTCATTACACGGTCATCGTCATCGTCATCGTTTGGTAGTCACAGTCGATAACATTTCATGCTACATACTTATTCTCTCTCTCTAGCTTTATTAATTTATGCATTTCTGTTGATTGTCTGCGTTACAGTTGACAAGTTTCCCTCCAGTTGTTTTTTTTTCCTTTGAGTGTGAGGGAGTGTGGGTTTCGTACAGTTAGAATGGTTATAGGTTGATTGTTAGACAGTCAGTTTTATGTTTGGTAATGAGTTGTAATGGTTTCTAGTCTGGCCGTGTCTTTATGACATTGCGACGTTGATTAATTTTAAGAGCTTTTTTGTTGTTATTTTAATGCCAATAACTAGCTAGGCATTATGCAGGCTTTTCATAACTAATCTACACATAAATTTGGTTGTGTTTCTGGCATTTATTTACCGCTTGCTCACTTTTTTTTCTCCTCTTTGCAGACGTCGCGGCAATTGCGCAACAAATAACGTTTCTGTCTAAAGGTGAGTTCAAATTTTGGGCAACAGTCGGCAAAAAAAGAGTCAAATTTATACAAAATTAAATGCAAAAGAATATATATTTAATAATTAATAAAATACGTTGTAGGCGTATCGAATGGCAAGGTTCTTGTGCAAGAGTTGGTTCAGCGGTCACCGGCTGAAGTCACGGGTTAAAAGTTCATTGACTTGGCTCATTTGTTAGCGGTTTTTTTGTTTTTGCTGTCGCAGCTAATTGTATTTTAATCAAATTTAAAGTTTTTGTTTGAATTTTTGGCTAAAATTAATTGCAATTAGCCAATCTCGTGCGATATGAGGCTAAAAGAATTGAAATTGCTCTGTTTAAAAGGATTAGCAAACATTGATTTCAGCTGTTTTTTGTTTAATGAAACTAATTAAAAGTGGACTTCGAAGAGTATTCTAGGTGCATTCCTGTTCACTAAGCAAATTGATATTTGTTATCTTTTCCATGGCACACACATATTGTGTAGAGTAGACACACAAATTCCATTCAGATTTTATCATATAATAATCAAGTTGACTGCTCCACTGACCCACTGTCTGGCTACCACTGATAGCGTCCATGTTGCAAGTGTAACTACGCGCAATCGTAAATTCTTTCATAAATACCGACACCGCAAGCTCCATTTGAAAGTAAAAGATAAAAAATAACTTTAACAATTTCAAATGCATAATGCAAAGTTCCACAGACGATGACTGTGAGGCTTTATCAGTGCATTGTCGCTTACTGTTGACTTTGGATATTGTCGATGCAGATAGTCAACATTCAGTTTGCTGACCCAGTTGCCAGTTGCCCCCGTCCCACTGACAATTCCAACTCTTCCTAATCAGTCAGCAGCAGAGATTTTGAATGGCGCGCGTTGTGGTTCATTCAACTCCCAGTTTGGCAGGAGGGCAGGCAGAAGCTGGCTGCTATGGCATGCGAAAGTGGAATGCACTTCTCGACGAGTGTTTCCTGTATGATAAATACCTAGCAGCCGAGACCAGAACAGTTCCGTCCCGTAACGCCCTAAACACCCCGCCCAATATATGTGTCAAGTTATTGTTTGCAACTTCACAGATACTCGCAGTCGCAAGATACTTTTCTATGGCTGCATCTGCTGCCGGTGGTGGTGTCGGCGGCGGCGGCGGCGTCGTCATTGCTGTCATTGAGCTGGGCTTTTGTTTGGCTTAGCTGCACGCCCTTTCAAGGCAGCGACGCATTGTTAGGTTTTCCAGCGCAAAGTAAAGAAAAACTTTTTCATATGCACACACATACATACACGCATGCATACATATACTTTCAATATGTATTTCTTTTCTAATTAAAACTTTTATGCCGACAGCTCAACGCATTAGCCGCAATATTTATACGCAATTTTATTGGTCGCCCACTGTGCGATCCGCTTCTGGCAGGCTCTATGGCTCTACGGCTCTTCTAGGCTAGGGGCTTATTAGTTTAACGAATTTTTCCACTTTGCGCCGCCTTATTGAACGCATGAGTGACAAGCCGATAAACGCCTAGAAAACTCTAGCTTTCAACGTGGAGGCGTCTCCTTCTCTCGCCCTCTCTCGCTGTGTGCGTGCGTGCGTGTGTTTGTGTGTGTGTGTGGGCGACAAGTCGGAAAAACACGTAGCTTCACCACATGGGGTCGTCACTTTTGCACCACAACAGATGCGCACTCCTAACTCAGACGGTTTTTTGTTCTCTGAGTTTTTGTTTATTTATTTCTTTTTTTTTGTGTTTCTATTCTATTCTCCTCATTTCATTTTGATGCCTTCTTTTTTGTTTTTATTTTTTATTTTTTTTTATTATTTTACCCAATTCGCGCGCGCGTAACTTGTCAAGAATTTCAATGAGTTCGTTTCCCTTTCGGTAGTCGGTCGGTGGTCGGTGGTCGGTGGTCGGTTTGGCCTGTCAGATTTCAGAGCCAAAGCAACGGGCCGCCATATCATAGTGGAACCTGTTGAATAATTAGTATGATTCACAGTAAGACCAAAGAGAACCAAAAATAACAATGGGCATACAAAGCAGAGATTTGTTGTGAAAAAATACCAGTTGCTAATAGTTGCCTTTAAAAAGAGATCTAATAAAAATACACCACAGTGGTTGAGTTAAATATATGTATATCATTGAAGTTTTTAAGATTTTTTCGGTTATCGACTATATTTGCTGAAAAAACTTGTCTCTAAGTATGAGAAACTTTCGTTGTGAATAATAGGCTTATCAGAAATATCGATTGTCTAATGATTATCGAAATGTTAACTTTAAGCCTATTAAAAAATAACACTCATAATAATATCGATCTTATTTTCGTATAAATTATATATACATCTTAGCCTGCTTTGTCGGCACCGAACATCGCGCTTTAGCATAATCTCCAGATGTATTGAATACATGAATCGATTTGTTCGATAACGTCCCATTGTGATTTTGCAAAAGCTGACTCAAGACAACATTTGGCATTCCCCCAAATAGTCGTTAGCCACATGTTTTGCAGGCCAAATCAAATGCAAAATTCAAAAGCAGAAACTGAAACATAAACAGAAAAAGAAAAAGAAGAAGAAAAAAACATTTTCCACATATGGCTAATTGTTATTTAGTGCGATTGGAATAGCTGGCAACACCTGTATAGCTTGTCCTATGAATAATCAAATGCTGAAACACTTTAAAAACTGGAAATTAAGTTGGTTTTCTTTTTTTTTTTTGTTTGTTTGCAACGCATTGCGTCACACCTCAAAGTTTAACGATCATCGCCTGTGTGTGGTAGGGAATTGTGTGTGTGTGTGTGTGTGAGAGCTGCGAAAAGTTGCTCACACTTTATGGGCCCAGTTAATGCAGCCCTTTGCATACCATTGTCAGGGGTCCATCGAGTAGAAACACTTGGCAAGACTTTTATGAGCAAATTACATGCAAGACTGAGTCGCAAAGAACATAGCGGCAAATATCGCATCCATCACATGCTAAATTCGCATCAAGTAAATTGTTCGCAGCAGCAGCAGTTGTTCCTCTGGCACAGGTCCGTTTCAGAGTCAGACTGCGTCTATCATTAAACTGTCGTAAATCACAAGTAATTGACATTATACAATGGCCATCGACAGACAGACAGATAGAGCGAGACAGAATGAGAGAGAGATAGAGAGAGAGAGAGAGAGAGAGATAGAGACAGAGGGGCAGGCAAATAAGCAACAATTACCTTTGAGATAGCCAGCATTTTTCTTCAAATACACGTAGCAACAATTAAGCTAAACATATCACATGAGAGCAACGATGACTGTGCAAGCGAAACACTTGAATACACTAGCAGAAAGAGCTCCAATAGAAGAATACAAAAATAGAAAAATAATTAAATATTCTATTTATACTACTCCAAATTAAACTATATAATTAATCAGAAAAGTTTAAGAAGTAAACTCTTTTGAATTTGAATCACATATTGATGATTTTCTGAATTTAATACAACTTCTATTTTACTATGTGTACGAATATGTTATGCTTTATTCTGAATGTGAATCTGAATGATAAATATTCTAAAGACTTCACACAACTCAATGGACTATACGGATTAGTGAAAAAACTCACATACGCATACAATTTGAATGCAATTTAGAACTAACATTTACTCAAACAGTTCGACATTTTGCTCTGTTGCTAAAAAATTTGGCATAGATGCGACTGGGGCTGTGGCTGCGACTGTGAGTGCTTTGAGTATCTTGAGTTTTCAGTGTTCACAAGCTGAAATGCACATTTAAAATGCAACAACAGCAACAACAAATATCAGCATGAACGAGCGTTAAACAATGGACGTACGACCAGTATTTTTAGACTGACACACTAAACAAAAGGCTGGCAGAAGGCAGCACCTCACCCTCGCCCTCGCACTCGCCCTCAACCTCGCCCTCACTCTCAGAAGACATCTTTATCGCTGTCTTTGTACGAAGATTACGAAATGCAATGAAATTACGATGCGGCATCAGCTGTAGACGTGCCCCACGTAATTCTATATAGAATTCGCACACGACACTTCATTAGACGACTAGGCGAACGTACGTAAGTGGTTGGTTGTGGGGTGGTGATGCGGATCGTGCTACATATATGTGTACATATAAATAAACTGCAGCCGATAGACGTAATCGCAAGTGTTAGCTAATAGCTGCAGATGACGCTGCAAAGGCGGACGGTGGTCTGCTAAGCTGGTCAAGGTTTGATAATATCGCGTAAATATTGCAGCAATCTTATCACAGACGTTCAAAGACAAACAGAAAAATATATATTTAAATTATAATACATAATCTTCAACCCGATTTTTCAAACAAAGCCATTGCTACCAGCTAATGTGCAAATATGCAAATTTCAGCAGGAAATCGCATACTGAAATTCATATTAATGTTAACGCCACATGTGCCGGCTGTATAAATAACAATAAAAGCGAATTAAATATCACGCAAATTGAATGGAAATACAACTATGATTGTTCGAACAAGTAATGACGAGTTCTTCTGGTCTCAGGGTATTGACTCTCAATGGGGCAATGCCTGATATGTACTTCTGTAAATTAATCGACTATTCAGGAAATTATTTGCGTGGCAAATTGCATAAATATTTTGTGGTAATTGAGGTTTTAATATGTAGTTATTACGTTTGTATTTAGCAGTACTTATTCTTAGTATTTTTAACTCGATTTCATATACTTCTCTGGGCATTATATTTACTGTGAATTATTCATAGGCTTCCTCAAATATCCATGGTCACTTGAATTATGAATTATATTGTTTCTTGCACATGTTTCTGGCTTTTATATAAATTTATAACTCTTTATTTGCATAATATATTATATTTATTTTCATCTTTTCACTTAAGACTCAGTTTTAAACCTGAGGGACTTTATGCTTCCACCTTGTTAAGCAGTTTCTACATATTACATATAAAATTACATTTATTAGTTAATTCCTTTCACTTAAGGAGCGCATGTGGAACACATGTTTCTGTCATTTGTCCAACTGAA